TCTTGAGCTCATTATTACTATTATGTTTGTTCTTGTATGATACATGTTCAATGGGATCATCTTGAACACGGGTCTTTCTAGGATAATATTAACTTTAAATCAAAACGATTTTGTCTTCAAGCTTACGAGAAAAACAATTTAAATCTGTTTTTTTTTCAAGATACAAGGTCGACATGAATTAAGAGCATTTATTATTTTGCATCCTACTTTGCGAATCCGCCTCCGGATTATCATCCTACATGTTTACCAAACGGATCCCACTTTTTGACACGAAGTGATAATTTAACATTGACATTGATACGATTTGTTGTCCGTATATATAATAATATAATAATATAATAATAGGTAGTAAGTACTTACCTATTATATATGTAACTGAAATGAGTAATGAGTTGCAACAATGCATATAAACAACGCATGGTAGGTGCGTTCCGATTGTGTAATCCCTGCACAAGGACAATTGTTTGGACGAGAAGGTATATTTATGTTTATAATCTAAAGTGCTTCTACTTGGACAATTGGATAAGAAAATATGCATTTCAAATTAAAATAACTACTGATTTTCCTTGATGATATGATATTAATTTAGATAATTTGAAGCATAGGGTATCTAAATATTAACTGTAAATCAAACTAAGCTAAAATAAAGGTTAAACAATACCAATTGTATTTATGCATATAATTTATTATAATTTGCATACCTACTAACACAAGAGTCGCTATTTCCTCTTAATCATCAATAACCTAACCATGGGTTTTTGCACTTAAGGCTACTTCCTACATAAATGAAAACACCCATATTAAAATCTGATATAATAGTTATAGGTAAAAAGTATAGAACATGTTTTTATACTTTGTTGTTATATATATTTTTAAAGAATTTTTTATGTAATTTATTTAAAATACCTATTCATTATTATGTTATACAACATATCACACATTTTAAAAACATCAGCAAATTAAGTTTAAAAATCGGGCAAATGGATGTCACTCTGCTGTAAGTACAGTAGGTTACAAGTGAGCCACTGTAATGGGTGGTGTTAAGTTTGAATTCAATGATATAATATAATCTTTGTATCCGAAAAACGATTCTGAGTGAAGACCGTCTATAATAATACTTAATAATTTAACATATTCGATGATATTATCGTATTAAAAGTAATTTGTTTTACTATTAAACATTATTATTTATTAGTAACACAATAGGTTAAATTTATTTTTGCGAAAAAATTATATCTGAAAAGTCATTGCAGTGTGTATAAAATAAAATAATATAGACACTCAAAAATTTTCAAGTACCCATCATTACTATTTTTAAATTGTAAAAAAAATAAGTTAAATTATTATATTCTTGGTTATTTTATAAGTTATATATTATAAGGCTATTTAATAACTATAACATTTTTTTTATTATTCTTAACCATACAAATAAAGTTTTTTTTTTTTTATTAGCTATCGGCATAAAACCATTATAGCTCAACAATTACAGTTAGTATATAATACAGTAGATAAGCAAATAAAGTTTTATTGACATTTATAGAAAAAAAAAAATTGAAAATGTCAGTAAACCACTCAAACATAGTCACAATATTTTGAAAATAGTATGGTGTATAGAAAATGCGGATATAAATATTCAATGTAGCTACGGTTAGAGTCACACTAAAAACCAAAATCAATTTTAAGTAAAATCTTGGTTTTTCTTAATTTTTTGATTGTTTTTCCTGACGCTTTTGAAAACTATTATGATTTTTTTACTTTTGACCCCCCAAAGTACCAACTAGATTCACATTCCTATCAGAGAAAATATGCTATCGGAGAAAATCGAAGAATTTTCACTGACCAGAAAGGTGATGATAGACACAATAAAAAACTAAAGTACAAAATTTAAAAAAAAAAACATATCCTTCTAAATGTAATACATTCTTCGCTTCACTCAGAATTTAAAACTATTATAATTATAATTTAACGAAACTTTTAACTATACGATACAGAACTCATTATTGGTACAGACTACAAAATCCCAAATTTATTGAGCTGTTAAGAAATGACAATACATTTGTGAACATATAAATATCATAATAATATATAATATATATATTATGATAATTTATAGGTCGTCAAACGTAGAACAGTTATCACTGCTTACCTATAGTTTATTGTTTGAAACAATAGATACGATCCGTGTTATTTTTTAATTTGATTATGGTTTCCTATTTTTGTTTTGTTATAAAAATTGTTGCTAAATAGGTAAATACCTATAACAACTAAACTGATTTAAGAGTAATTTTTGTCAAAAACATGTACAAATAAAATGTGATTGTTCAATAATGAAATTCGACACACATGACCATATAATAATTTCAAAGATAAAATATACCTAGAACTATTGTAAAACGAAATTATTTTAAACTAGTTGTAAGTACTGGTACATGACATTTTCGATTGTTTCAGTGACATATTAGAGACTTATTAGCCAATTATGAATAAAGTTTAATGTATGGACGGCTTATAAATATTATTTTATAACGTCGTATAAGTCGTATTCTGCACTCTCTTTAAGTGTTTCTAATTTTATTAGATCGCAATATCGCATCTCACTATGAATTTAAAATTATGGTTAATAGTGTTACGTATATACAATATACATAATAATATTGAACTCATATTATGTGTATTATTATGTTTCTAAAATTCTAATTATATTGTTGGAATACATTCAAAATTTATTGAATAAAAATTAGACCTTTAATGGGGCGGGATAACGCATAATAATTACGCTCTGAAGTGTGTCTACCACAGACATGATTTTGATATTTATAATATGACTATAATTATTATTATTATATATTATTATTTTATATATTCATAATGAGTTTTGCCAGTCTAGTAGAAATAATCTAATTTATCACATTAGAAACGGTCTATATAATAATATTATTATCATTCATCGTGATTATTATCTGCAGCTCAAACTGTTCGTTTTCATTACGTCCGTAAGAAAAATTACTTTTTAAAATCGTTTATTTCATCGACGTTATTTATGGACAACAATTTAACGACGACCGGATAATCGCGTAGTATTAGATAATCTCTCCTGGTACTTCCGCGGACAATATATCGCGTAAAAGGAAACCACTGTTTGTTTTCTACGGAGTGCGGTAAAATGGTAAATACCGCGGTCCGTATGACCTCGATAAGGCAGCGGCGGCGCCCGTGTTCGATGATGACGGTATATTGGTTATATAGCGACCAGTGACCACCGACGACATAGTTGGTTACACCACAATAATCAACGGAAATCCCGAATTTGAAACTTCAAAGACAGGTCATCGACAATTTAATGAGATACATTTGAGTGTAGTATCTTATCATAACGAGTTATTTATCGAATTGGTTTAATTATTGTACAATTTACATATAACTCGAAACATAACGATTAACGAGTTAATTTTAATTCAATTCTCCGTTACCCAGTTTAATTGGTAACTCTAAAACTAATTTATTCTGCTGTATATTGATCAAAATATTGGTACAAATAAAAATATTGGCTTACAGACTACAGTGCGCCAATGAATTCATTTTAGAAGAGTTTCATAATGGTGTACAAATCAGTGATTTTCAAACCGGGGGCCGCCGGATATTATTTAGAATTGTCAATACATACACTTTTTAATGTTGACATAATAAAAGAGTTGTCAAAAATCTTAAGGGCATTATACTGCAAGCTTAGGCATTAACGAGTTAAAAAGTTTAAGTTAAGTTAATCTTAATTTTTTAACTTAAGTTTTTAAATTAATGTAATTTTTATTAACTTAATTTTTAACTGAAATTACTTTTATTGGTATAAACTTAATAAATAACGAGTCCAAGAATCCATAGAATCCAAGTTACAATAATTTATAAATCATTAAATAATAAATATAATTAAATAATTATTGATGATACCTACTGCATAAACATTAATCTATTGCTATATTACTAGCTATTTATGTATTTATTAAAAAAAAAAACAACTCAACTTAAGTCAATAAGGTAATCGGCAGTTTCTATATAACTTACAACTTAACTGGGCTTATACAAATTAGGAAAACTATTAACTTTAAACTTTTTAAAATGTTTTCCATCAACTCAAACTTCACTCAATTAAAAATTACCATTGTACCTTGCGGGCAAGGACTTGCATTACAGCAGGTCGTGGCCCACAAAAACATCAAGAACAGCTGGCATACATGAATCGGTATAGTATATTTTATTACTATAAGTACCTAGGCGTATGTCTCCCAGCACGTGACCCAGACATAAGTGACGAAACAATCGCGGGGGAGGGAGAATCCGATTCGCATCAAATGTGTGAAATATCAGAATTATATATATTAATAACTAGCCATAGGTATGTGCCTAGTTGATATAACCCGGGTGTACAGATACTATTTATCGTTACCACATCGTCACAGTAATGACGAAAAGGCGTAACTACATATAATATCATACTCACAGATTTTCTTATACACATTTAGCTGATATAATATACGCCTTTTTATCGCAGCCATCGTCACAGTGTCTGCAAATATATTTCGTACCTAGGCAATTTAATTGTTTACATTTAACCCGTCACTCTGACATATTTTATAAACGGGACAGCGTGTTTGGATGTACAGATACTTTGTATCACTTCGATATATGCTGCAGTTGTGTAGATAGTTAAATTATGTTGGTATGTCATTGTGTTGTGAATAAATAAATCGTCACCGATAGCGCGGACGACGGCGACTCGTCGGCTATCAGGATACCGCGGTCCCGGTTATGATATCGTTATCATCGCGACAAACATAATGTATATCATCATGATATTTTAGCGACGCGATCGGCCGTCGGAAGTTCCGCTTTCGATTTCCACTGTCGCGGCGGCGGTAGCTACAGGACGACGACGTGTAGAGGGAACGGGCGATCGAGTCTGCGGGGACCGGTTCCGCGTGTGGTGGTCCGCCGCAGCGAGTTTGCGGCTTTCATTCGTCACGCGACAACCGTATAGTATAATATTGGTACGCGCGACGACGTCACCCGCGCACGTCGCCGCCGCCGCCAGACTCGTGTCCCGTTCAACTCTCCGATCGCGCGATCTCGTAACTTGTTTTTTACTTTACTTTCGGCCGGCCGACAAGTCGCACGCGACCGACTGTAACTCACGACTATAATATACTTTACAATATAATACAGTTAAAGCGAGTTATTATTATCGATACGTTTTATAGTAATAATATCGCCATCCGACGGTTGATGTACACGTTTCCGCGGCCAAGTGACAAAATATTATTATTATTATTAAACCTGTGAACTGGGTATACCATACTTGCTGTGCACACTTTACACGATTTGTCTCCAATGGGATCGCAATAGTCATCGCGGTGTTGCTCCTGCGGGGACCATTATGTTGTCGACTCAGGATGTTCATGACGTGAAGTCTTCGGCTGCTGCAGTACGGCGTTCGTCGCGAATCTCTCGCTTGACGTACCTGGTCTACTGCGTGTTCCAAGTGAGTGAAAAATCGTGCGAGATCGGCCAGCGCGTACTTTATAAAATAATTAAATGTCGTCAAAACGAGGTCTTGAGAATTATCGCACTGAACGTGCTTTGAAATAAGATTCTAAAAATAAAATTTTAATTCAACATAATTTTATAAAGTTCACTTTTTGTTTTTACGCAATTACACTAACAATATTTGACTCAACGTTACGAACGCCTACTTTGGATGTGAGAAAAAAAATGTGTAAACTCATTTATTCTTAAGTAGACATTTTCTTCATTTGGTCAACTATTAATTTTCCACTTAAGGACAGAGCACATTTTAATCTCGGATGTTTCATCACTCGGTATTCAAAAAGTTTTTATGGAAAAAATGCATTTTTTGTAGAAAAACAAAATTATAAATAAATTCATAACAAAATATATAAAAATTGAAAATATTACCCTCTAAACTTTTAAAATTTAAACTAGTACTATTTGAACGGTCCTAAATTTGGAAACGCAAAATAATTATTAGTCTTATAGATATTATTTAAGTACATATTATTATGGTAGTTATTTTTTCCATTTATTGTTTTTCAAATTGCACGAATTATAATATATCTACACACAAAATGTCCCGATATTCTTGGATAATTGTTTTGTAAAGAGTTCTATCGGAGTGCGATATTGATTGCAAGGAAAAGTCAATGATTAATTTTAGAACATTAGAATAAAGTTAAAAATAAATTTGTTAACTTGAGTTTTTATTTGTTTTTTGGTGCATAGTTCTACCTAAATAATAATTGTCAGTTTCCCATTCTTCGAACAAAATTATAAGGGATACACATTTTTCATTTAATTAATTATTTAACTTAACTGTAATTAAACTCAAAATGTACTCGCATTTTTATATAAAAATTAAATTTAATATGAATATGTATTATTCAATAAAACCAAAAGTAACTCGCTTAAGATAAAATGTTAAACTACGCCTGGCCGTATATTATTGATTGGTTATGTAGTACACGGTTAATGTCCAGTCGAACAGTTTGGAATTATCATTAAAAAATAATATTATATAGTTTAAGATCCTGCTCACATAGCCATATAGTCATATACACAGTTAACGTATTTCAAAAAATTCTAATACCGGATACATTTTAAGTGAGTAGGTAAGTTAAATTTAAAAAAAAACAAAAAATAATTGTGTAAAAGTTAATCCCCATTTTTTAATAACTAAATGTAAAGTTATAACTTCAAAGACACATTTTATTTATATTTAATATAATTTTAGACTGTTGTATAACTTGTTAGTCAAACTTTTTTCAGAAGTGTCCATAGAAATTACTGAGAATTAGTTTTAAAATAATTATTTTAATTTAAAATAACGTACATAAGTGAAAATCATTGATTTCTATCCCTCTAATTCGTAAACATTTTACAAAGATCTCTTTTCGATTTCTTGTCACCTGAACAATATACTTATTTTATAAAGATAATGACCTCTGCTGATAACATGTACCATTAGTTTTGCTTACTAGAAATTTTCATCAGCAGGCATTTAATATTTTTACATCCCATAGTTTGATACTTTTCACTATTTCATATGATGCATGACAATAGAATGTGACCATAAAAGTAAATCGTCATGTGAGAAAAAAAAACATAACAAAATTATGACGATATACCTATTCAGTTGTAATGTACTCACTCGGTGTATTGCAAGACAAATCGTATGTTATGAACTATGAATACAAAATTATAACTTTCTACTATGACTTAGTAGGCAGAATAATTTTTCGGAGAAGTCAATAGTTCTAATATAATTATTGTACATCTTATTAACATCGATTTTAGTATATCTGATCCAACATTATGAAATTATATATCAGTAAACATATTTTTAATTTCAATTGAGTTAATTCCATTATTGTACAACTGTAGCACACATCATCTATCATACTCATAGGTACAATAATGAATAGAATTTTTAATTAAAAATATATTACACATGATTATTCTGTAATTACTTTATTTTATTGTTACTTGTAATATACATAGTGTATTTTCTGATCAATTTCATTGTAAAAATTAGAAATAAAAAAGCTGTAGGAATTCGTTATTACATAATTGAACGCGTGCCTAGAGTTCTAGATTGTTGAGATAAAATAACTTGACCACCAGGGTCATAATTTATTTAACGTGAGATGATCAAAATCGATTATGCTAGAAAACATTTTTGACTATGTACCTAATAATATTTTTAAGTCATGTAAAAATTATGAGTCTTAAAGATTTTCTATTTTATTGCCCAATGCATTCCAATCGATTCACAAATAATCGTCATTGTATAATGTCCATCTTCTATTGAAGATGCGTTATGTAAAATAAATAAATTGATATTATATTGCATCATTGGTTCGAAAAGAATTTCCTGACATCATTCTCGGGGGTAAGGTTCCATAAACAATAATAGGAGAACGAATAGATTTTTAGTATCGGCACTGATACAGGGATAAGTACCTATTATAAATGATTATACCTACTCTATTAACACACCATTATATTATTATAAGACATTATTTTCTTTTTAATAACTGAAATAATAATATACATAAATTAAACGATATTGTTGAAACAGGTACGCTTGCGTCAATTTAGACATTTGCAATAACTAGAGTAGATTTTGCAGTTGGTTTTCATCGTCATTATAATTATTATATGAAGCATTAATTTTGTACCCTATGATGATCGTGTGACATAACCATGTGAGATAACGATTCTGAGTCAGGCCAAAAAATTACGTTTTGATGAACACAGCATTATATTATTACAGAATCTCTTTCACCTCAAACATTCGTAATGTCTAAGTAAACCATGTTTTACACATGAGCAATCAATTTATTTCAGCCTCGAGGAAGTTTAGTAATAGTGCCCATTGCTATATAGGTACAGTCGAACGGAAGTATACTCACGTAGTAATTTTTGCTGTAAAAATGATTTCTAAATCGCATCCAACTGATTTATATTTTTCTAGAATAAGAGATTATTTTTATGCATCAATAGTATAATAATATACTATGCACTTCTAGTTTGGTTTCAATCCTTAGCGTGAAATAAACACCGGGTCTTATCATTTTTTTCATATCATTATAATATTGTTTGACTTAATTTGTTAGAACTTAAGTAAGAACCAGTTTGAATTCTTCAACTATACAAAAGTAAGTATTTAATTATTTATACATTATTGCCTATAACCCGAAACTTGGTTTATCACTGTATAGAAACTATTTGTTTATCACAGCGTTAAAAATGTTTGAGTTTAACAAATTGATAAACTGTTATATTGTGTGGTTTTGATTGATTAGGCATCTGTGATGTACTTGAACTTTTGTGATGACTATTCCCACGTCAATTGCAGGTTTCGTAAATTAGATTGACTGTTTTTTTTTCTGTAGAGCTAAAAACAATAAAAACCAAATCTTTTGTTTTTGAAATGTTGCACCCGTGGGGTGTTTCATTTTGGCGTGATAGACAGGGCCTACGCAAGTAATGACCTTCGTCCTGCATGGTGGTCTGTATCCATTGTAAACAAAAGCTGTCTCGGTTGGAAGCAACTAGTGATCGACGGCCTGGAACAGTAGGTGTCTCCTTCGGTGCACTAAATTAAGAACAAATTAAAAAATAATAACAAAACATTACTAGCAGTCTATTTAAGTTCGTCTCACTGTACCGTAGATCGAGGACAAGGTCGGATCGTTAAACTCGATCGTCTTAAACTTCGGGAATGTGGTTTTTTTTATATGTCACTTCATGTCCGCCAATTTCGTTGGGTGTGACTATATTCATATAAATAAGCTTTGTGCATATCGTTATTATTTGAATTACTATTTTACGATGTATGAATATAATTATGTGTAGCAGTTAGCTAGCTGAATTTTTTTTAAATTAAATTAAAAGTCATCATCAAAGGTGCGTAATTTGAAGGTGCTAATTATATTATTTTGACCAATTATACGTATTTCCCTGTACCCGTCTTCCGGCGGAAAGGGCGTTTATACGTATTATATAATTTTAATACACGCGATTTATGTTCATAAATTTAAATTTGATCTGATTTTAATGTTATAAATATTGATCAAACATTATCAATGTATATTTCATTACAACACACAAAACGAAATTGTTAGTAGGTTCCTATAGATTTTGTTTCGTTAACTTTGAACTTTGTCCAATGATTGTGGGCAATAATATAATTTAAAAATCGTATTTTGTCTCAAATCTCAATTGACTGTATATTTAGTCTGAATATTTAGAATTCGACTTTATTTTTTTATTCAGAATAACCGGTTTAGTTTTAATCCAATACTTATACTCAATTATTTTTACAAAACGTTTATTAATAATTATACGAGTAAATTAAACTAGATGTATTATATTTGTAAAACTATACATCAATCATATGAGTTCGAGGTCTTCTTTTATTTTTAAAGTAATTAATGTTAAATTTTCTTTTCTTTATCCTTAGTATTTTTCCTTTTCAATACGTATTAATAATTTGAGGTCTGAAATAATCTTGAACCAAAAAAGGAATAAAATATACCTGTGTTTATATATTTAACTAAATAATTGATGCGTATATTTGTAGTTTAAAGTTAATACTTACTTTTAAGCAGTCTTAACAACAAAACTTGTCAAAAAAATTATATTTGAGTACATACATTAAGCAAAAACAAAAAAAACATACGACAGTTTATATTTTTTTCTTTTTTTGATCGGGATTTTGTTTAAAACAATATATTAGTATCTATATTGTGATGCATTAATACATAAATAGTAAAATATCTATCTTATAGTACCTGTAATATGATAAACTAATTAACCGATTTAAGTTTTCAGTATCTATAGGTTTTAAATAAAAACAAAAATATATCAACAACTTTAATGTTAATTAATTAACAGTTATGATTACACATATGTATAATGAATTATTAGGTTATTTAAAACGTTATATTTTTAAGTAGGTAC